CTTATCTTAACGCCTACGTCTTCCATAAGACTAATACTCAGACAATTTAGGATCAGTTTTTAAGCAACGTTTTATAGGTATGCTTGAAAAAAATCTAAGACGGGTAAATAGCAAAGTTGACCATTTCTCTCAATAAAAAGACACATCAATTAGTGTGTATTTGTATTTAAATACCTATCAGTCTATACTTGTAGAATCCGCGCTATGAAAGAAAAAGAAACTGCCGGTATTCCAATTACTGTACTACGGTATGCTATAAATTTAGTGTAAAAGAAAACATATATGAGAAATCAGAATTGTATTATCTATATATATATAACTGACATCATCCAGCGACAACCTATTCGAGGCACACGAATTATGTTGCTTTATTCAGGTACTCCATTTTGTAGTAAGCTCAATCAGCAGGTATCATTAAGCAAAATCTGAAGTAGGAAAATAATAATTAATTTGTACAGTACAATCGATGGAATTACCTTTGGAGTGAGGCTCGGCAATGGAAGACTTTTGAATCGCATTGGCCCCATACTTACAATCACTTTACATTTACCCTGAAAGACTCAGAAATAGCGGGTTGGTGTCCGGCGGGGGATAGATAGTCCATCAAAGTTAACTTTAAGAGTTACGTAAAGCGACTAGAGGGATCTGTGATTCAATTCAATTTTAATTTCTGTAAAAGCATAAAATACAAAACATGATGCTACCTTCCAAGGGTTGCCAAAAAGTTACCAAGTGGCTTTCCTAACAGCATCATTACAAATTAAAAATCATATCTAGATCCATTAAGCGCTATATAAAGACGGTTTTTATTAGCCTCCCATCCACCAAAGCAACGAAGCTAAGGGTAGGAATTGTTTTTACCTGTGTTCTTCATGTTGTCGTCGTCGTTGTCTTTGTCGTTGTTGGTCATTTGTTTATTACCGCGATGTAATTGGTTTCAAATTTATCAGAATGCACGATGGTAATAAAACGACGGAACCTATTGGTTTTGGAATGTGTGTGAATATGCTAATCGCTCATTTGCATAATTTAATATTTCAAAAATTAAGTAATTTAGGCTCGATAACTAAAGTTTGGTAAGTCCGATTGGTTTCAAACTTGGCAGAATGCAAGATGGTATTAAGAAGACGGAATCTATTGTTCTAGATATGTGTGTGCATAATATGCTCATTGCTCATTTGCGTAATTTACCTGTTCCCTGATTTTATTTTGATTCAGAGACAAAAACAAGGGCCTGAGGATTACCTAAAAGCGAACTTAATCACTATCTAAAAAGGTTTTCAAGTGAACATAAAAGAAACAGACAATTAATTAAATACACAGATATTAAAAGGTGATTACAATTCAACGAAAACAAAAACAAAAACACAGGCCTAGGGGGGAAAAAACAGTTTCATAAAAAAATCACAATTCAAATGTACAAAGATAAAAATTCAATTCTGATGTGATACATAAGTAGATACGTAGGTGTGATACTTGCAACACATGGAGTAACTTCAAAGCAAATTTTGTTTTTAAATCGGCTCAAAAAAGTCATGAGAAGAAACTTGCATGTTGTCCTTTGTTCATTGTTTAAATTTATCTTGTTTGTTTTATCAGCAAATGTGTTTTGATATGATTTTTGGATTTGGTAATATTAAGAGAGTTCTTCCGCTGGGAGCCCTATGAACGAAGTACACGTGTTACGCCAATGAGTGCCAATGCGATGAGGCATATGAACAAAGCACACGTGTTACGCCAATGAGTGCCAATGCGATGAGGCATATTTACATTTACATGGATATAATTAATATAATTGATAGCCCAACGCATAGCAGAAACAGATCTTCAAACGTCGTAAAGATAAGGAGAAGCTGGATAAATTACCGATGCGTATAAATAAGTGCTGGGAAAGAATTAATGTCCATCAAACTCATTATACACTTGTGAGATTCTTTAATTAGTGATGACAGTGGCTACCTTACTGTGTAATCACATAATGTTAGCTTATTCAGTGTCCGTTCTTTATTTATCTTCTCGCGGGGACACGCAAGCGACGACTTGTGCAAACTGCGACATCGATCGGCTTATTTTAATATAAATCCATTGATAATTAGAAATGAGCTGTATATACTTCTCTAACAATACCCTCGTTAAGGGTTGCCCTTTAACATTGGGCCTACATTCGGTAGATAAACACGTGTATGCAATTATGCTATTCTGATAATAGAAATGTGCATAACGTGTAAATTAAGAATAACCATTTATTAGTCTTCGTCTTTCGTTCCAGGACATTTACAATAATGTTGGCGCCTAAGCAGTGATGTTTCCGACGGGATGGGCGGAGTGCTTAGTAGTGTCCTATCATGCCCTCTCCTCGGTTATTTAGCGTAACAAAACAAAACTAACAACTAAATTCTTGCCTTATAGGCCTGCTCTGCGCTTTCTTATGCAGAATACGGCACAGGCGGGGCCCCATCCCCTCCTCATATGTTTTCTTTATTTTTCTTTTAATGTTTCAAGGCTTAAAAAAAAAAAAAAAAATCTTAAATTAAGGTTATTAAATGATCTCATAAACAAACTATTTATTGATGAATTTTCTCAGTCTTACAGTCTTATAAATATGTAATTTATTACATATTTATAAGGGTGAGCACTAAAAAATTTTACAAGTGTGCAATTACTTTATAGATGAATGTACTATACTTACAATGGTGACAAAATTACACAATATCGAGTACAGCTGAAGGCCGAAAGACATTGCTTTTTTTGGCCATTAACAAGTCTCGATGCATATTGAGTAGGCCTAAAGCCATTGCTCTCTTTGGGCCAATTGGAAGCCTCGAAGAATATTGAGTAGGCCAAAAGCCCTGTTCCCTTATGGAGAAACCAAACACAAGCATCGACGCTCCAGGCCTCATCGTTAACCTCGATATAATGCCATATATTCAGTAAATAATCAAACGTTAAACACACACACACGTATCTCGGAAGACGCTTAATGAAAAGAAGTAGACTAATTTACTCTCAATCTCTTTATTTTGCGCCATTATATTATATTTTTTCATATTATCATATTATATTATACTAATTGGCAACATCTTTAAGGAAAATAAAAAGATGAAGAGATGTGCCACGCACAAATATATATAGGGACCTACGTTGTATGATGTATTATTAGCCTTTTCCTAATAATTTTGAACTAAGCTAATGATAGTCTTAAATATTCGAATAGTTATCTCTCTCTTGTCTCATCTCTACTACGCTCCTTATATCGAATTGTGATAGATTTACGGAGAGGTAAAAATACTAACCACTGCTATTTTATTTTTCAATAATACCTAACAATTTTTTCATTATTATTCAAAACAACTGTGAAACCGTCATTAAAAGTCTATAGTTCCACTGATTCTATAAAAATACAAACGACTGGTTGATGGTTTAGCTTATTTTCTACACAAATATCGAACACATGCATTCCAACTTCATTAATTTTCATATTATGCTTCAACACTGTGTAATTTGATTCTGTAGCCCCACTCGTTATACTGAGCTCGGAGAAGTTGTACAATCTTAACAATTAATTATTCAATCAATCATCTTCCGGAATTAATATCCATCTATACAAAATAAACAAATGTAACTTAAACTATAATAGGTCTATATCAGGGACTTACTAAAAGACGAAAATAATGTACCTTAGTAATACATTAGACGTAATAGGCCCTCAATTCGTCACAGCCTATATATTTTAATAGAAATTTTAACTCTGAAACTGCCTTTTAAAAATAAAAAATAGTAGCCACAACTAAGGTAGAATGTTATGCGCAGACCTATTTCAAAAATTGGATAATGTTCATTCCAAAAAAAAAAAAAAAAAAGGAAATACAATTGACGGTGAAATTCCAGTTGAATCTGTGCTTTAAACCAACAACCGGTAAACTCTGTTTCATTTTGTCTGTATTAGGCTAACGAACTTGAAAAATAATTACATCATAAAATCACTTGATTTTTATATTTTACGGTACGGTAAGTTATACCTATTGCTAGGCCTTTATTTCAATTTAAAATTAGAACAAAGGAATATTTTCGCTAATTTATATACCGGTATAATTGTAATAACTCCGTTCCTAGTGTTTTTCGCATAGATAGATCCCTGGCTTAACTGACTCAAAACGTCTGTAAGCCAGCAAAACTTTCACTAATTTTTAAAAATCTGTAACACAATTTTTGTCTTATATTATCTGAAAAAAGAACTAAAATAATTCATAATCTTTGAAATTTGCTTGTGTGTGGAATAACATTTATTTTTATAGGATTGACTAATTTTGCATAGGTGTTTTCTTTTCCTTGCCTGTCTTGATTTTATGCTAAAAATTGTTCAGAGTTATGGATTATATTCAAAATACAATATAAAAGTAATAGTTAATGAAAATTTGTTATTTATAAATTCTAAGGCGTTTTCAGTGATGCACATAAGTGGCAGCTGTGTCGATGGTTTTACCAAAGCATTATGAACCAACAAGAATCAAGAATATTGATGAACATTTTAAATAGTAGGCCTATAGTGCTTCCGGTCGTCTACAACAATACACCTGAGTTTGTTTTTTTTTTCAACTAAACATCGTGTAGATCTACCGGTAAATAAACGAAACTGTACGTGTTTATTTGCAACCCTTTCCCGTGGTTGGTAGGAGATTTTGCCACTTTATCCCATCTCCCTCTATATTTTTTTTACAATAAAATAATAATAATAATAATAATAATAATAATAATAATAATAATAATAATAATAATAATAATAATAATAATAGGCCTACTATTTAGAGTATATTGAAGATTATCTACTTGTTAAAATTAATGAACACATCAACAACTAATTAGGGAAAGGAAACTGTTGACCAAATGCCATGTTTCCCATTATACAATCATCCCATATTAATTAGCAAAATTCAATTTGCCGATATCAATTATTACAAATATTTTCAGTGAGAAAGATACAATAACTATTTTCTACTTACCTTGCCTTTTTCCAGGAAACACCTGAGAAAAAATAGGAAGAGTTATGTATATAAAGGAAACCACGCTAACCAGTGATTGGTCGAGCAGCGCGTATCGATAGCCATTACGTCGTATGGAGTACGCCAAATCTTAGATACGAATTGAACGTGTGTTTAATGTAATATTAATTACGGAATCAATAGCTGCAATAAATGTCGGGATCTGCTGAAGGGAATTGGAGTTCATTTAACATCTACAAAATGATTTGCAACACACAATGGGTTTGTTTCATCGATTGAAATGTGAAATACGACCTCTATGTGGGATCATCAAGCAGTTTATTTATGCAATACGAGTTTTAAGTGAAACGAAAGACAATTAATACGATTGATTACCAATTACACATTAAGTCAAAATATTCGCCAGTAGAGACCGCTATTGCGTACCACTTTTAGCAGATAGTCATTTTTATGTTTAAAAAACTTAATAAACGCGTCGTATAATATTTAACTTGCTAGAATCCCAAAGCGTAATAAATTCTCCTGCTTGAAATTAAGAATTGGATAGAGGAGAAGAGTATGTAGGGCCTTAGTCAACGGTCCTATTTCTGAATTAGTTCGAGTTTTTAATTTTATTCATTAAGTAAACTGTCACAAACCAGCTTAACCCCCACTAAAACTACTCTAATAAAAGTATCCGATGTAGGTTTACGAAGGGCACATATACGAGTCATTAGGAGCGTTATACGTTCCCTATGCTACATGAACTTCTAAATTATACACGCGAGGAAAAGGCATTGAACAAATTTCATATTAAGTCATTCTTAGCTTTTGTATTCTCGTGAAATATAATGAATAACGACATACTCATAGCTTTGTTATCCTCTTTAATAATCGTGTATATATCTTACTTGGCATGTCTTCGAATTCGATTACTATCGGATACATTCAGAATTTAAATCGTATCATTAAGGGTAAGAATCAAAATTCACACTGTATTGTAAATCGATCAAAGTGGGCATATAACCTGACTAGGTACATTATATAGGTACTGACATTATATTTTTTAAGATAAACATTAACAATACCTTTCTACCCAGGCGATTTCAAGATACCAGTGCATGTAAACCGACATCAAACATGGGTAACTTTTTGTACAGCATTACGATTGATATGGGGGGGGGGGAACATTATTTATGCCCACAACATTTTGTCAACTGAATATATTTTGTTATTATTAGTACAATCAAGTTCAAATTTTAAGTTTATTTTATTTCAGTTAAAAAAGTGGCCTCCGGCCCATTTCAGAAAATAAAATCAAAATAATTATCTGACACACATGCTTTTCTTTTTTCAAATGATTTTTCTAAATATATTGCTAAGTACTTAATTTGATCAATATTTCTATTAACAAATATATTCCTCAACGAATGTGAATTTAAGTTAGGTATATTTCTTTCTAATGTTTTTTTTTATAAATTGGATAAAAAGGAAATGAATTTCATATTCTAAATTTAAAGAGTCGCAAATAAATTCTATTTTCCCTATCAATATTCACGTGTCGTCCCTTTTCAATCATCAAATAATGGCAAGATAACTTAAAGCGTTAAGTTATTTTTCTATACCTGAGATTTAAATGATAAACATATAGTTTTCACATATATTTTCGGGCTTAATAATATTATTATAAAATTGAAGTCGTGAATTCTTTTTATTATTTCTTTTCTTTTTAAAGTGTTACATCTAAATTTGTGAAAAAATAGCTAAAATGCTATCATCAACTGAATTATTCCACATATAATTAAACAAATATTATCTAATATGTTTTATATTTCGAATGCCTAACAGCTTATGGCCTTTTGTGCCCAACATCTTTGTTTTAAGCAAATACTTGGTAGCCTATTCTTTTCCATTTTGTGGATTTTTATCCAGTAATTTATCATTCTTAAAATTTTGTAAGATTTCATTGGAATTGCACCTAACTCATTTCTCATACCTTCATTCTTTTCTCATTTCTTACGTTAATACTCTTCTTACGTTAATAAACTGATGGGTAGATATTTTTTAAATACACAAATTTCTATGTTCAAGTTGATAACTTTTATGTTACTTCAAAATGGGCAAGTTAATTTCAAAAATATTTTTATGTTTTTTTTTGGTACCGTACTTAGCAAGGGACAATACATATTTAATGAATAAAAGAATAACAAAGGCAAGATTTAAAACACTTTAATGTTGGCATAGGCCTATGTTTGGCTTTGCATTCATATTCTTTTGGTAATTATTTCGTTATACAGTAATTTGGGGCCGAGTTAACTTGGGGCCGAGTTGACTACTTGGGGCCGAGTTGACTTGGGGCCGAGTTGACTTGGGGCCGAGTTGACTTGGGACCGAGTTGACATGGGGCCGAGTTGACTTGGGGCTGAGTTGACTTGGGGCCGAGTTGACCTGGGGCCGAGTTGACCTGCTTCCCTATCTATCATCTATTATCTATTACCAATTATTTTACTATCTAGGCCTACAATCTATTATCTATTTTCTATTATCTATTACCTATTATCTACTATCTATTATCAATTATCTATTAGGCCTCTCTAGTCTATTGTCTATTCTCTTTTACCTGTTATCTGTCTATTATCTATAAAAGGCTATCATAATCCCTGTTATTTGCAGACCAATACAATAAGAACTACTGATAAGATAAGATAAGAAAAGATAACTTTATTGTTCCACAAGGGAAATTCTTCTGCTCGTCATCACATATTATTAAAAAAATGTAAAACAAATATAAAAAAACATACAAAACAGTCACTATAGAAAATATAACAATTTACAAGTAAAATACAATGACTACCAGTGATAAAATAATTGAATTACAATTATGATTATTTTTATTATTCTTATTATTATTATTAGGCCTATTATTATTATTACT